GAGCAGGGAGCCCGATGTGGGGCTCGATCCCAGGACCCTGGGACCATGACCTGAGCTGAAGGCAGACGCTTAATGACTGAGCCACCCAGGCGCCCCTTTAGTATCTTTGTTAAAGGTTAACTGTTAGCATGGTATCTGGCATAGTAACTGTTAGCTACTATCAGCAATATCATTGGTCCAAATTAGGTAACAGACATGAGAATTCTTCGTGAACCACAAAGAATTATATAGATCTAAGCTGCTTTCTTCCCTTGGAAGTATGGAAAATAAATAAGATAACATAACAATTATCTTTTCCAAATGATCACATATAATTTCAAATAACCAGGTTCTAAAAACATTCTATTGATAAACACTGCAGATAAATTCCGAAGTTGTGGGGGTAAAGTATATGGATACCCACAACGTCCCAAAATGTATAATATACCAAAAGATGATGGACAAATAGATAGATATTTGATAAAGCAAATATATTAAAATGTTAACTACAGAATCTAGGTGGTGGGTATATAGGTATCGGCTGTACAATTCTTTCAACTTTTTTCTTAATATTTTATTTATTTATTTGACAGAGAGAAAGAGCGAGCACAAGCAGGGGGCGGCTGGCAGGAGAGAGAGAAGCAGGCTCCCCGCTGAGCAGGGAGCCTGGTGTGGGACTTGATCCCAGGGCCCCCAACTTAACCAACTGAGCCACCCAGGCACCCCCTTTTTCATCTTTTCTATATGAAAATTTTCATACTGAAAAGTTGGAGAGAGGGGAGAAAAACCCACTGTGACCCATTTTTAAACCAATACATACAGGTTTCAATTTTCTGAAGAAACACTAAGGTCTACATAGGAAATAATGAGCTTTGGGAGAGTTCTCATTCTCTCCTGCTTGAGCCACCAGAATTGTGTCCCATGTCTGCACATTTCCTCCCATCAACAGAGAGTAATGATTTTTAAATAGGGAAATCTCAGTTTAAACAAATGATTAGAACTAACAAGACAAGTATGAACGTGACACTAATTAATTTGGAAATACTTGTCCTGAATACAGAAGCCAAGTTTCAAGGAAGAAAAATATACTACCAACGAAGCCAAATATTAATGGGACTTAGGTTAGAAAATATATACAATACTTATTATTACCCTTGATGACCATTACTCGTTTGCTAGAGACGCTCACAGAACTCAGGAAAACAGTTTACTCACTGTTGACCAGTTTATTATAAAATTCTATGACAGAGGATACAGACGAACATCCGGACGGAAGCGATGCATAGGGCGGGGATGTGAGAAGGGGCACACAGCGTCCCTGACCTCTGCGGGTACGTCCCTCTCCTAGGACTGCCACATGTTCGTTCATCAACCTGGATGGTCTCTGAACCCCATACTACTGGGATTCCTATGGAGGCCTCATCACATAGGCAGGATCAATTATTAACTCCATTTCCAGTCCCACTGCCATCTGGAGAATAGGGGCGGGACGGAAAGTTCCAAGCTTCTAACCACGGCCTGGTCTTTCTGGCGACCAGCGCTCATCCAGGAGCCCACCAAGAGTCATCTCGTTAGAACAAAAGACACTGCCACCCCCAGGATACTCCCAGGGATTCAGGTACTCTGTGTCAGGAGCCCAGGTGAATGACCAAACATTAGAACAAAAAATGCTCCTACCACTCCTATCGCTTAGGAAATTTACAAGTGTTTCAGGAGTTCTGTGCCAGGAACTGGGGACAAAGACCAATATATATGTTTTCTATTATCTCACAGGTATCTAATGTGAGAGTACAGTTTTTTTAGTTTAAGAAAGTAATTTTTACTTACAAAATTAAATGTACATTTTCAATGAAAACTAAATTTTTCTTAAAACAGTCCATCATAAAATATTGTCCCTATCATTATATTTATTTTTTTAAAGGTTTTTATTTATTTGTCAGACAGAGAGAGAGAGCACAAACAGGGGGAGCAGCAGAGACAGAGGGAGAAGCAGGCTCCCCGCTGAGCAGGGAGCCCGATGCAGAGCTCAATCCCAGGACCCTGGGCTCATGACCCGAGCCGAAGGCAGATGCTTAATGACTAAGCCACCCAGGCATCCCTCACTATCATCATATTTAAGGTATCTTTATCTCAACTAAACAACGCTTAAGACAAAAAAAAGGGGGGGGGAGAGAAAAGAAGACTTTTTAAAAAATTCACAAAGGATTCACAATCAATAATGTCCCCTGCAACTCCTGAATCATTCTGCCATGTGACAGCTTTGTTCCACAGGACATTTTTCCAATTACTCTTTTTGGTTTTACCTATTCTCCTTATTTTCCGAGATGGCAGAGTCAATAAAGATCAAGGTCCCAGCAAGCTTGTGGGGCATGACTGAGGATAACATTCAGTTCAAAGCAAGCAAACAAAAAATCTTAGACTTTCTGATCTTACAAAACCTTTGCGCATCCAAAGTACAACTGAGTAAAAACCCCAGACACAGCCATCACTCTATCACTCAAGTGAAGAGAAGATTCACGACAGGAAAGTACATAAACAGATCTCCGAGTCAGCTAAACAGGAAGATGGAGAGTACACTGTTACTGGGAACACTCCGGATAAGAACACAAACTCAACGTGGATCCTTACTGGTCAGAAAGGGGCTGAGATGGTTAGCCTTCTGAAACCCTAAAGGGCGTATACACAGGAGACAACAGGACGTGAAGCAGGATGTGTGATTCACAGAGAATGACGAATGCCGAAAGGGTGGCGGTCTCTCTGACTGAAGAAAGTACGTCACAGCCGAGAAGGGGGCGGAAGAGACAGAAGCCCACGTGTCTCCCACAGCCTGCCGAATATAAATCTTCTGTAGTTGTACTGATGTTGTCACTGGACCCAAAGGTACTAAGAATTTGCTTTTTATTGGAAACAGCAAACAGGTGATTCCACAGGCTTCCTGACAGCCAGGTCTACCATGTTCGGACAAGCGGGAAAGGAGAGAAGGAGACACACTCACGACCGCATGTGGACAAGACTGAAGCTACAAACTGTTGACAAAGAAACACAGGTATGTCAACAATGCCTGTTTACATCCTCTCCTTGGGTCACAAATACAGAATCCCAGCATATCACCAGATCATTAGTCCACTCGGGGGAGACGAGGAACTGAAGACATTTTTAGTAAAACAAATACAATTTTCTGTCTCTCTACAAAAAAATGACACCCCTAGAAGTCTACTTTGCCTAGCTGAGAAGTAGCTGGAAGAGAAGCCTGCTGACAGGCCGTATTATTCCAGGGCAGAGGACCGAATAGGAATTTTGTCTGGGACATGCTGGAGACCAGCAGCTGATGTCAATGACCTTTCAATCTCCTCCCATATAAGCCTGCTCAGTTTCCATTCCTTGAGGCAAGTTAAAATCTGAAACCAACCTGTTTCCCTTCCTTGACTCCTATTAGCAAGATATGTTTCCAAACAACAACAAAAACAGGAGCCTTGAAATTTGCTAAATGTCTTGAAAACTGGAATCTCAAGAATACCAAGTCTTGTAAA